CGCCGAGCAGGGAGCCCGATGTGGGGCTCGATCCTGGGACTCCAGGATCATGACCTGAGCCGAAGGCAGTCATTTAACCAACTGAGCCACCCAGGCGCCCCTAGAATGAATTTTTTAAAAAATCGACAGTAACACCTATAGAGATCATCCAGGCATGTGAGAAGGAATATGAGGGCATAATATTGTCTGGAGGTGAGAAGACCAGGGTTGTGGTCCTGCTCTGGACAAATAAGTCATTTAATTGTTCTAAGTCTCAATTTCATTATCGGTAAAATTAAGAAAAGGAACATCTCTATCAACTTTGGAAGTCTGATGTGTGAAAAAATGACGGATATAAAATTGCAGTGCAAATGATTTAAAAAAAAATCTAATTAAGATGCTCCCAGGTTAACAGACTTCTATATCTTCCCATTGCTTTGAGAATAAAATTAGACTCCTTACCACAACCTACAAGAACTTACATGATCTGACCTTGTTCACTGCTCCATCCTGTCTCCTGCTGCCCTCTCCCCTGACCTAGTACTAGGCTTCAGTGACCCTGTCATCCTTCCTTCCCAAGAAGGTGCCAGAGATGCTCTTTCTCACCCTTGGTGCATTTGCACTTAGTGTTTCCTTTGCCTCAAAAACTCTTTTAAGTTTTTCCATGTGGTTGAATCCATGTCCTCTTTCAAGTTTCAGTCCAAACCCCACTTCCTAAAAAGGTCCTTCCTTGCCATGTCTATTTAACATACTTCACACCTGCCCCTTGATCACATTCACTCCCTCTTATATGCACTTATTGCCTGTGCCTTCATCTGCCTTGTTCATTACTACCTCCCAACCACCTAGACCAGAACCTATATCCTAGCACCTTCAATAAGGTTGCCACTAAATATTTATTGAAAAATGCATGACCATGAAAACATAGTATTAATAAATATAACCATCACTATTTATTGCTTGTAATCAAGTTTTGTTAGTTATAGTCAGTGTCTTTACTCTTTACAACAAAGCTGTAAGTTAGGTATGACTATTTTCCGGTAACTGATGCTCAGAGAGGTTAAAGTTCAAGGTCACCCAGCTAGTAATTGGCAGAGATGGAATTTGAATCCAGGTGTACTGACATCAAACAAATCATTATTCCATGCTGCCTCTCTAACACCTCCCATCACAATTAATTTATCTCTCCTTTAAACTCTAATATCATTTTTGACACTACTTATTTATCATGTTTTACAATATTAATTGAGGCATGCTGATTTTTCACTCTAGTTTCTCAGCAGATTTATCACAGAGACAATGTCTTCTGAATCTCCACCAGTGTCTAACATCCCACTTATCCACATCACTTAGCAAATATTTGCAGCTGCAAAAAATAATTGGAAGTACAGAGTATATGAGTCAGGAGCATTATTATCTCCTTTACAAGAATAGTGTGTTTATTGCAAAAATTTCACAAATTAATTCGCCTCTAGAAATTAATAGGAAGAAAGGTATTGAGCCCAGTTCTGAACTTTTAATGAGGTAAAATTTAGTGTCCTGAAAATTTTTATTATCTGATGAGTATTTATGTTCTTCTAGAACTGATTAAATTTATGGCCCACAGAAACATTTAAACTAGTTTCAGTTAAGCTTACTTTTTCTTTTAATTTTTTGTTTTTAAAATGTTGATAATAATTACACAGCTTTTCTATGAGTAATAAGGCCGTTTCAGAGTGTGCTTTTTTGAGACTATTTTTATCAACTATTTTGTCAAAAGAATTCTCAAGCCACCAACATAAAACATCTGTTGGCTAATAACTCACCCTGACTATGTAATTTAAGTAGCTTTACTACCCTAAGCAAAGGGTAATCCTTGTGACTAGGATTTACAAGTCACTTTCTGGCAGTTCCATAGTATCTAACAATAGTTTTGTGCATTTGTCTCCAACCACCACTTTGCAATTTATGCATTACTACTACAGTCATACTTAACTGATAATCTTCATTGTATAGAGACTCCTAAATATAATATTTCTTTTTGTTGGAATAGCCTTTTAAACAATTCTCAATAAAAAATTAAGTGGTAGGATTTAAATTACAATCCTATAACACTTGGTATTTGAAATGCTTTAAATAATCATGCAACAGAATAATTTTGAAAAGTAAAGATGCTTTATAATGTGTATGTATGTAAGATAGGAGTATTTATATAAGGATGATAAATATAATGATTAGGATATCATTTCATATTCTATCCATAAATGTCAGCAGTTAGAATATTGTGGGGATCTAATATACAGCATGGTGACCATTATTAGTAGGATTGTATCATATACTTGAAAGTTGCTGAGTGTGAATCTAAAATATTCTTAGCACATGCACACACATACACACAAAAGGTAATTAGGTGAAGTAATCAATGTGTTAATTAACCTTACTGTGGTAATTTCTTCACAATATAGACATATGCTAAATCATCAAGTGGTATACCTTAAACTTAACAACGTTATGTGTCAATTATATCTCAATAAAACTGGAAAAAAAGAAATGGCAGGCAAAGAAGCGTGACATGAATGTATAAATAAATACATGAAAATAAAACTGATGGTAGCCAGAGGTAAGGGGATTGGGAAATGGATGAAATAGATGAAGAAGATTAAGAGGTACAATCTTCCAGTTATAAAATCAATAAGATGCAGAGATGTGATAAACAACATAGGGAATATAGTCAGTAATATTGTATAAATTTTGTATGGAGACAGATGGTCACTATACTTATCGTGGTGATCATTTTGCAAGGTATAGAAATATCATCAAATCACTGTGTTGTACACCTGAAACTAAAGTAACATTGTATATCAATTATACCTCAATAAAGAAAAAACAAAAAACCCCTCAAACTTTCAAAATACTTTCCTGACTGACATCTCAGTAGTAATATGAATTGAAACAGGTCACTTATTTTAAATTAGAAAAAATATATATATGCATGATATATATTTTAGGTTTACACTCAGAAGATAGGGGCATGCTATTTTAAACAATACTAGTTTATCATTATTTCAAAGCATTTGGAAATCACTCTTCTTACAATTCTGGGAAATTGGGAAAAAAAGAATACCAATAATTACAATGTTTAAAAATTTTTAGTTACACTCATAAGGAAGAGTAAGTTAGCAATGGCACGGAATTTCTCTTCTTTACTGGCTGAAATGCCTTCTTCAAGAACGAAAAGGCAAAGAAAGAGACAAGTACTTTACATCACCAACTACTCAGAATCCTTAGACTCTGTGGAGTCCAATAGAGACAAACATCTATTATACATAGGTCCTCATCCTGATACTAGAACCAGTTTCTGAAAGTTAATCTGACATGAATTGTCTTACATTCTAGAATGCCTGGACATTTAGGGGTTATATGTTAAAAGAAACAACATTTGAAAAAAAATGTGTGTGAGTACTCTCTTCTCTCCTGAAAGTACTAGACAAACGCTTTAAATATCAAATGGTTTGTTAGGGAATAGACAAGATCTCAAGTTCTTTCTGCCTTTCAAATACATGTATCTTTAATTCTTATCTGGATTAGCATAAATACAGCATTGTTAAAAAAAACGCAATGTTTTGTAGACTTCTAAGAAAAAGACTTCATGACGACAAAGTCCATTTTTATACCCAAACAAGTATGATTCTATAATTCTCTGAGAAAAGGTATAGCACTGTATTACTGATGACATAATTAAAATGAAACAGTAATAGAAAATTACATGTTAGTTTCCTAAACTGAGTTTTGAGTGCAAACAGCTTATTCTAAAGAGCTCGGTGGTTTGTTTACTGAATTAATGTCACTTTACTTATCTGAAGGGACGAGAAATAATTTTATTCAAATTTGAAATACAGCTCATGAAACCTAGCTGTCAGACTGTAGTTTATTTTTAATACTCAGCTTGAGATTTCTATAAAATACATGGATAAAGGCTAAAACAGTGAAGCCTTAAATTAAGAGCTATTTGCCTCTCAGCCACCAGAACTGATGACAGTCTCAGGAAATTAGTCTGGTTGACCTGGCCTCCTTTGCTTTCATACTTGGAGGAAGAAACATAAGCCCCTCCTGTTGTTTCAACTGGATAAGTAAGGAAGTGTTCAGTTTATTTTCAGGTAAGAAGTCTGGTGCTATTGCTTCGTGGTCCAGTCACTTGCCTCTTGATCTCTATGTTCTAAAATCTCTTGACATTGACAATGAAACCAATTTAGCTACCTAATTCATGCAGTCTTGATGCTTAAAGAGTTCAACCATCTGAAGATGTAACTGGTCACGGCAAATATCTCCGCAGACTGTCTAAGCCTCGGGCACAGGGTATGCAAAGCCTATGTCATCTTTATCTGATTCCAGACCTACCAGCAACTGACCAAATTTTGTGCTGGAAACAAATTTTTTCTGGGCTAAAAGGGCCAAGCAGACTGCTGGTGTTCTTAGCCTGGGTAGAAGACCCAACCAAAGGAAAATAATTCCCTTCTAAAAACCAGTAAAAGTCCCAAGACTTCAGATATCCTTTTATGAAATTTCTCATTAACAGGAACACTGTTAGGAACTTCTTAAACACACGGAAAATACCAAACCAAATAGGAGATTACCAAAAAATTTTTGCAGTGATAAGCCACAGATGAGTTGCCAATTGTACATAATACCATTTATAAATCAAAATTATTGTTATTATACTTAAAAAGTCCTGGATATATATCATAGATATACCTATCTGTGCAAATATATTTATTCAATTAGATATACAATTGAATTATTTCAGAGAATCAAGTTAACAGCAAGTATTGAGAAATTCAAATATATATCTATGCATACACATATACATATTATTTTTAAGAAGATCAAATTAAAAGCAATAAATGAAAAGTCATCATGAACTTTTGACCAACAAATCAAAAAATAATAAAGAATGTTTATCACATGGACTTCATATTTTATATTTTGTCAAATGACATAGCAAATGAATATTTCCATGTAGAACCATGTCGTATGTGTCATACCTTTTCATGGACTTTCTGACCAGGTTCCATCCCTTCAAGATGTTCTGATTCTGTGGACCCCTCACTTGATGCCATTTTTCTTTGTATATGAACATTTTGTTCACGCAAGGCAACAATCTGCAAAATAAAAGCATTATGCCTTAAAAATCTAAACTAGAGCATAAAGTATAGAAAAACTGAATTTATTCAAATGTGGTTAAGAACTAATGAATACAAACAAATAATCAGAAAATAAACATTAATATAACTCTTGTTATTACTTAAAATATTTTTAACATTTAGGTTAGCATTTTGAATAATAATTACATGAATATGAAATTTACTGAAGAAAATATTTTCTAGTTAAATATGTATCTATATAGTTGGAAATGTGTCTAAATTAATGCCATGATCCATGTGTTAATTCAGAAATTACCTTTAAAATTAATTTATGAAATGTGATAAAATTCATATGGGTCTATATTTTTAAAGTATAAAAGAAAGATAAATGAAAATATTGCAGGCTGAAGGCTAGTTATAAGCACATTCATTCACCCTAAGAGGTAGGATAACTGTAATTTTAAAATAAGCAAATAACATAAACTAGACTTAATTTTGTGGCACTATCATGAGTACTTAGAATTAAATTGGTTTCCTTATCATTATTTTAATGACCATTATCTTAGTGCTGCTAATTCAACTATAGTTAATTTGCAGAAGACTTCTCAAAAAGGAATTAATTCTTGAAAATTTTCAGCTCAACTTTACAGACATAATATTTTCAACTAAGAAAGATTCTCAGATAGTTGTAGTTTAAGTAATCTTAGTAATAAACAGAGGAAAAATATCATTCTAACATTTTTAAATGGTGTTTTAAAATATAGTTGCTATTTACACATATTTTTTAAAGTATTTTACATTAATACCATACCTTATTTATTTCCTGGCAAATCTTATTATATTATCAACTCAGATAATGCATTAGTATCGGTTCTTGGGGAAATCAATGCCCATAGATTTAATACACAATAAATAGTCAATCACATATAAGACCAGTATGTCACACAGACCAATAATCACCAAATAAACATAAAATGTCAAGAAGCTGGGTGGTTGTCCCCATCCCTGCCACTGCTTTAATGCCCAGATGCACAATGCTGTGTTCATGAGATCAGGTATCTTGTATGTGACCTCCAGCATTTGAACATACAGCATATCCTTTTGTAAGGGCCTATCACCAAATAATGAAGAACAACTCTGTAAATGCTCTTCTTTTTGAACTGCAATCAGCAAACAACTGGTTCCCTTGCTCCCACTCTCGCCCATCTACAAGCTATCCTCCACAAAGGAGCCAGATTCACCTTTGAAACTTAAGTTACATTGTGTCAGCCGCGTTCCAAAGAACCTCAATGTTTTCCCAATTTATTTGCATAAATTTAAACTTCTTAACAAAGTCTAGAATATCCTATATGATCCCTTCAGTCACAATGGCTTCCTGTCTCTCAAATACACTGGGCTCATTTTCACTCAGATTTTAGCAACTTTATCTTCTTGCCTGAAACATTCTATCCCAGCTCAGACCACAGTTAACATAAACCCAGCTTTCAAAATTCAGCTGAAATGCCATTCCTCAGAGAAAACATACCTTGCCATCATCAACCACTTGTTATAGTTTCCCTGTTTATTATTGTGGGTATTTCAGTGATTACAATCTAATATTATTTTCCTTTATTTGCTTAATCACTTTGCTTATTTATTTAGCTATCAGAAGTCCTAATAATATTTCAGGGGAAAACAATTTTCAAAGGAATACCTTATTGAAAACAACATTTTCATATGAAGCAGCACATCATATTATTATGTGCAAGGTTTATTTTATTCAACAAAAATGTGTTGATTTAAATAATGAATGGATAGGGGTAAACAAAGAATGTAAGCCTAATTCATTCAGAAGTAACAAAAGATAATGATTTAGAGTGTGTGGGAACCTTCAGAGACATTTCTCTGATGTTAGCACAGAAATGGATTATATCGAAGGAACAATAAGAATAAAATAGTCCCTTGGCATATCATTTTTATATTAATTCTTAACATCTTGTCTCTTGAATAAAAGAATATTATATTATCATCATTACATAATGAAATTTTATTACAAATTTTAAAAAATTCAAGCATTGTATGCTGACATTCCACTAAGATAACATCCATGACTTAACAAATCTGTTGACAAAGTTAATAATAAATTTTAAAATTCTATGCATTTTCTTCCTTTATTTAATCTACTTAGAAGTGAAGAGAGACCTTTTTAAAAAAAAACATTTAAACACCAAATTTAACTCTGTTTTCAGAATAATTTCTATTGGTTTAGTAATTCAGATAAATTTTAAACATGGCCTAGTGCCTAAATTAAAGCAGGCCCTCTATAAAAGTTTAGTGAATGACTCAGTGAATTAATACCCTAAATAATAATAATAATAATAAATAATAAACGTCAAAACACCAAATTCATATGGAAAACACTGTATGCAAATATAATTGTGCAGCTATGTTAAAAAAATGACAAACTTCAAGCGTTTTACAAAGTATACACATGGCAGTTCTAAGAAAGACATAACAACCAACATACAAATTCTACTTTTTTTGTTGTTGTTTTTAATTAAGCCCGCAAATTAGGTTTTTGAAACAGAATAGATGTAGAATCCTCTATATTCTTTATCACTGTTAAATGATTTTATTCTGTTCTGTTTTTGCCCAATAACAAATTATCCTGAGGAGTTATGAAAGCAAAGCTTCAGCATATGATTTAATTGTAGGTGTTAATAATCTTGATTCTTTCTTTCACGGGGGAAAAAGTGAGAGGTTCTCTCCTGTGAATGCAATGTTGGGAGTTGAGCCTCTTTAATGTGTTCAAAGGGCAGAGAAATTCACCTAGAAATCGCAGGGTCTCTAGGTAGCAGAGTCCTCTTTAGGAAATTCTCCCAACTGGCTTAAGAAGCAAATGCAGGAGATGGCTTGAGAACTAGCTTGTAAGCACAAGCAGAATGAAAAGAAGCTGATGGACTTCAAACATTCTTTGGGCTCTCACTGGCAGGGAATGCTGTCAAAGGGAGGGGACAGTGACTTGTCTAGGATACCAAAGTAGTCCTGGATCCCTCATTGCTAAAGAGCATGACCTACTACAAATGAGATGGCATGGCAGGCAGGAGGAATCACTTCTGGGTAGTCTCTGTGGTTTACCCAGTTGTTGCATAACTGCGAGAAAGTACTGGAAACTCACCATGTGTCAAGCACTGTGATAAACTATTTTAATCTATAAAATAGTTTTTATGATCCACATTTAACAAGTGATTAAATGGAGATAAACAGAGTGTGATGAAAACTAAGTAGGAATCAAAAGTTAACTCCTATCTTGATACTTTCTACTTTCTGTCAAATTGCCTCATATGGCTTAAGTCAGGGAAGTTCATAGTGGATGGGGATGGGGACAAAGTATTTCCTTTCCAAGTATTTCTACCTTCCCACCCTGGAATCCTTTCTATATCATTAAGGTATGGACCCCTCCCTGGAGAGATTCACATCCAGGCATAATTGTGCCTACATTTTCAGTTTATCAATCCACTGAAGGCCCATAGAACTCTGGTCAAGGGGAACTGCCCACAGTCGTTTTAATTGATCAACCATGATTTATCAACTGTTTGTTGACATTTCTTTTTAAATGCCCAGTATCCCTTCAATATTACTTTTGTAAACAACATCCTACATTTTCACTGCGGAATTTTCCTTCCCTACTCTAGAGACTGTCAGTTAGGGGGTCAGAGCTTAGGGCAAATGGATACATGATCCAAGCCGGGGAAATCAGAATACTTCTTGAGATGTTTGTGGCAGAGGTATGGGGTAAGATTCATTTTCTACTATGGGGGTTAAGCTGGTAGGATCTGATCAGGATGGGTGTTTACCATCAGTTCTAGCTCATGGAGAAAAGCACATGAAAAAGATAGAGCCCTGAGGAATCACATCTGCTCCTAATTCTAACCATTCTTAAATCATCTCTACCCCTGGTCTTTCATTAATATGAGCCCAAAATTTCTCATTTTTGCTCAAAGTTGCTTTTCTGTCACTTATAACTGAAAGTGTCCTTGAAAATATAACCAGCAACATGGAAGGTAACACAGAGCATGGAATTTCTAAATGGAGATTTTGAAAAATGACTAAGAATTTACCAGTTGGGGACAATGGGAGAAAACTGTTCAGGTGGACAGAAGAACAGGAGCTCTTTGTGTTCCTAGTACTATAGATTGTTTAATATTCCTGTGGCAAACACTATCTGGATGAAGATAGAGGACAAGAGACTAAAAAAAACTGTAGTACCTCAACTAAAACTCTGACATCTGTGTGCTTTTTGTTCTCTGGCTTATTGCTTCTCCTCAACCCTTATTTGTGTTTCCTGATTGCTCATCTAGCTTCTGAGAGCCTGACCCATTGTGTTTAGACATTTCCAAACCCATGATATTTCCAAGCCAATCTTCCAAGTTTTGTTCTTGCTTTTGCCTCTGTCAGATTATTTTTGGCTCCTGGATGGGGGCTGGTCACCAGAAGGACCAAGCCATGATTAGAAGCTTGGAATTTTCAACTCTAGCCCCGATTCTCCAGAAAGGGGAGAGGGCTTGGAGTTAATGACCGATCGTGCCTATGTGATGAAACTTCCATAAAGATCCCGAAGTATGGGGGTCAGGGAATTTCCAGGTTGGTGAACAGAACATATCCATGTGCTGGGAGAGTGACACACCCTAACTCCACAGGGACAGAAACTCCTGGGCTTGGGACCCTCCCAGACCTTGCCCTGTTTCTCTTCATCTGGATGTTCATCTGTATCCTTTAATAAACTAGTAAATGTAACTGTTTTCCTGAGTTCTTTGAGCTGCTTTAGCAAATTAGTAGAATCCAAAGAGGGCGTTATGGGAACCTCTGATTTACAGCGAATCAGTCAGGAACACGGGTGACAAATTTTATTTACAACTGACATCTGAGCTAGGTGGGGGGATGGGGTAACTGGGTGATGGGCATTAAGGAGGGCATGTGACCTGATGAGCACTGGGTGTTATATGCAACTAATGAATCATTGAACAACACATCAAAAA